AGTTACAGACTGGAATCTAATCGAGGGGTTCGGGGTGGTTTATATATGAAAAAGAGACTCAGGAGTGAGTTACAGACTGGAATCTAATCGAGGGGTTCAGCAGTTTATATGTAGAATAATAAATACTTAGGAATGAGTTACAGACTGGAATCTAATCGAGGGGTTCGGGGTGGTTTGTATATAAAAAAGAGACTCAGGAGTGAGTTACAGACTGGAATCTAATCGAGGGGTTCAGGGGTTTATATGTAGAATAATAAATACTCAAGAGTGAGTTAGAAACTGGAATCTAATCGAGCGGTTCAGGGGTTTACATACAGAATAATAAATACTTAAGAGTGAGTTATGGACTGGAATCTAATCGAGGGGTTCAGGGGTTTATATACAGAATAACAGATACCTGGAGTGAGTTACAGACTGGAATCTAATGGAGGGGATTTTGTGAGAGAGGGTTGGGTTTACAAACCGAGCAACAAATTGCTCCATCCCCCAGTGTTTGCTGAGGTCTGTTTTTCTCTTTCACAAACCTCGCTGGTGGCTCTTTTGTAAGGAAATGAGTGGCCCTGAGCCTTGAACCTACGCGTGGCAGCTGTGCCAGACCCAGGCATGTCGCCCCGCCCTGGGCCTGAAGTCTGACCGTCCGATGTTGAGTATCCGTGACGAGAAACGGAGCAGCCGGCGATGACCGTGCGGCCAGGTCATAGAGTCCGCTGACTTCGAAAGGCAGCCTTCCTCATGGGCACAGTACAGCATGTGGAGGGGCCGATCCTCCAGGTAGGCAGACTCCTGGGCAAGTTGGGCATCCAGGACAAGGTCAGGAAGAGCTAACAGCACCAAGAACAAGAGTTTTCAAGATTAATATTTCTCCAGTAGGCCTCCAGCACATGTTACACACATACCCAGATTTCCCCCTTTCCTTCTATCTCTCAACAGCTTTGTTCCACTGCTTCCCCAAGGGATAATCCCTCAGTTGGGAATCCCGGAAATCATATCAGGGATTCCCAGCATGCTGGCATCAGGACCCCCAGAGTCACGAGCTGAAATCTCAGATAGTGAGCTCTGAGGCAGCAATACTTGCGAATGGAGAGCTCTGACTGAGATAGAACAACCACATGCCACGCTACAGGACAGGTCTCCATTGATACAGGACCCCTCTCACTCTCACATATTACCCCACCCCTCTCCTTTGCCTCACCCAGCTTCCAGTAGCAGTGGCGACAACGTTGATGCCTCAAAATGGACAGACAGTGTGAAAATGGTTTGGGAAGCGCTGACAGGATATTTCCAGAGGTTATTCAACTGTGAAAAGCACCAGGCCATGTGTAGGGCAGGCTGGCCATAGGTTCCACACTGTGGCCAGCTTGGTGATGCTGATGGGGATAACGGGGGGAGTAAGTAATCAGGCCCCCCACAATTTCTATCCATCGTAGGAAGACCCACGTAGGGAACTTCCTTTTCTGCTTCTGGTGCTAAACTCATGGCGAGAATATTGCTCATCGCATTAAAGAATGAAGAGAGATCTTATAGAAATATCTAAAATTATGAAGGGAACAGGTAGGATAGAAGCAGGGAGGTTGTTTCTACTGGCGGGTGAAACCAGAACCAGGGGGCACAGCCTCACAATAAGGGGGAGCAGATTTAGGACTGAGTTGAGGAGGAACTTCTTCACCCAAAGGGTTGTGAATCTGTGGAATTCCCTGCCCAGTGAAGCGGTAGAGACCAAAAAAAAAGTTGCAGAAGCTGGAATCCAACGTCGACAAACAGGAAGCTGGAAGGACACAGCAGACCTGGCAGCATCTGGAGGAAAGGAGCAGTCAACGTTTCATGTGTAACCCTTTCTCAGGATTGATTTGTAGAATGTTTTTAAGGCAAAGATAGATAGATTTTTGAACAGTAAAGGAATTAAGGGTTATGGTGAGCGGGTGGGTAATTGGAGCTGAATCCACATAAAGATCAACCATGATCTTATTGATTGGCATATTAGGCTTAATGAACCAGAAGGCCTACTCCTGCTCCTATTTGTTATGTTCTTATGGTCAGCGTGCAAACTATCTGGGCCTGCTTGTGGGCCACCATGGGAGAGTTAGTCCCTCAGTCACAGACACTCAGTTCTTTATTGAAGGACCTCACACCATGGAGGGGTCAGGGGAAGGTCACACTTGGCTGTTGAAACCCCTTCTGTCACCTGCCCCATGTTTGTCATCAATCACTTCTGGCCTGAGATCCAGTGACAAATTTAGGCCTTGAGTGGCTGTCATACCGGCAGCTACCACTGTCCTCCCAATAGCGCTATCACTTAATCGTACCACCGGTCTCTGATTGGCTGGCAGCACTTGCACGGAACCCTGGGGTCATTGATCCCACAGGAAGGTCTGTCTCTGGTTTATCAACTACCTGAGAATCACACGCTGTGACAGGCCTACCCTAACAGGTGAGGCAGGCCATGACTAAGACCACAGTTCCCCCGCACCCCTAACCCCCATTAAATATCAAGGGGGATCCCGGGCAACACCGGTAAACATTTGGGAATTTTCCTGGTTGGCTGTGCCGAAATGGTCCAGTGGTATTCCCCCGTTGTACTTATCCTGTAATCCACATTTAGTCTACTCCTACCATAACCCACGATCCACCCAGGGTGACCTCTTCCAAAGGGAGGGGAACAGAACTCTCTCTCCATCAAAAAGTTGTTGAAGCTGGGTTTGGTTGAGATGAAAATGTCAAAGCTATACTTAGTAGATTTTTGTTTTTTGATGGGCTGGTCTTGCCCCAGTTTTTAATTTCGAAAGCATCAGGACAAATGCAAGAATGCCAAATTATAAATGATCACAACAATTTACGGCACAGGAGGAAAGGGTGCTGACTGGTTGACCATTGGTCTCCAATTTTAAAATTTAACATTTTTGTATTTGTCTTACCACCAACCCACCAACCACCACCACCAACCCCCCCCCCACCCCCCCCCCCCCCCCCCCCAACAAACACCGCCCCCCAACTTTGTTCCTCAAAAGGAGAGGTAGGACAAGTCGGGCACTCACACTCGGCACAGATGACTCCAGCAGCAAAACGCCCCCCACCTCGCGAGCACTCGACATAGTCACGGTGATGCGAACACTGCAAGATCGACAGCTCTGTTCCAGAGCAGGAGGTCCCACTGAGGACAACGTTGTCTGTGGTATGGTCAGTCTGCCAGTACCAGGTTTCCTTTGGGAAGGAAGGTGGAGAGTTCAGTCACCATGTCATCCACTTTGTTCTGCTCTGGGAGCTCCCTTAGCATCTGCACTGATCGGGAAATTAGTGCAAAGCAATAGAGAACCTGGTTTCTCAGTTCCTGCATTGACTGTTTGGTCAACAATCCACAAACCAAAGACATTTCAAGAATTCCAAAGATTAGACATTGTTTAATTGCACTGACAATTGGTAGTGCTTTGGAATAAAATGCTTCCTTATTTCAGATATTCCACACCCTCGGGTCTGATGTAATGACAGGGTCACACAATATTCCCTCAATATCCAAGCATCATCGCTTTCACCTCATCAAACCATACCCAGGGAGTGCCAGCGGGATGACTTCTTTTACATTTCCCACAGGGCCATTCAGGGGCGATGGAACGTAAAGGGTGGGGTTAATGGATTTAGGATACAGGTCAGCTATTGAATGGCAGAACAGGCTCAAGAGGCTGAATGGTCTCTTCCTGTGCTATGTCCCTCCCCATCTTGCCTACTCTGTGAATGAGCCTGCCCATTCCCTGCTGAATTGGAGAGGTGGTTTTACATCACAGATAACTCAAATTAACCATCCTAACCAACAAGGGGTCAGCCAGCCCAATAGTTCGAGCCCAGTTTCAATCTTGCTGCATTGTTGAATGGGCAGAATCTTCGTGTCCTAGTTGCCCTGACCCACACATCATCATCAGAGTTCTCTCAGCATGGGGTGGCACAGCGCTGGCGCTGCTGCCTCACAGCGCAAGGGATCTGGGTTTGATTCCACCCTCGGGCAACTGTCTGTGTGGAGTTTGCATATTCTCCTTGTGCCTGCGTGGGTTCCCTCTGGGTGCTCCGGTTTCCTCCCACAGTCCAAAGATGTGCTGGTTTGGTGGAGTGGCCATGCTAAATTGTCTATAGTATCCAGGGATGTGCAGGCTAGGTGGATTTGCCATGGGAAATACAAGGTTATAGGGTAGGGGGATGGGTCTGGATGAGATGCTGTTTAGAAGGTAGATGTGGACTCGATGGGCTGAATGGTCTGCTTCCACACTGTATGGATTCTATAATTATGGTCATTTTCACCACTGATTGCAGTGCAAGACTGTATCTTGGATCAGTATCCCCGAATCCCAGCTTTTAGCCCATTGCTTTCCATTGACACTAGAGGGATTTCAACAGGCTATAAACACCTTCATCCAAAAATCAGACAAATAGAAGCCCTCTCTTCATATTTCTCAAAGAACCTTGGAGTTAGAAGGTTTACCAACATGAAGTAGGACAGGATCCGTTAGAGACAATGCAGGAATGAGGTGCACCTTGACATTGACTTCACCAATCATGAATTAGGAATTGACAGGATAGACATGGAAAGGTTGTTTCCTGTTGTGGGACAGTCTAGGATCAGGGGAGCATCATCACAGAATAAAGGGGTCGCACAATTAAGACAGAGATGAGGAAGAATTTCTTCTCTCAGAAGGTAGTGAATCGGTGGAATTCTTTACCACAGGGGGCTGTCCAGGCTGGCTCGTTAAATATATTCAAGGCTGAGGCAGATTTTCAATCAGTAACAGAATCAAGGATTATAGGGTAAAGGCAGAAAAAGTGGAGTTGGGGATTAACAGATCAACCATGTTCTCATTGAATGATGGAGTAGACTGGAGACATGATGGGCTGAATGGCCTACTTCTGCTCCTGCGTCTATTGGTATATCATGAATATTAATCCGAAAACTTAATAACTAACACATTGTAAGACCCTGAAGTGAGCTTCAGAGACAGAAGTCTCCCTGACCCCGACTACTTGATGGAGGGGGTTGGGGGGAATTGGCAGGGAGCAGAGGAAATACATCATTTCTGTCTTGTTACATAATGGACATTTCCGAATAGCACCTTCCAACGATCAGACTGCCCCAACCAAGTATTGAGCAGCTCCCACTCCCAATGGAGGTGTCAGTGTTTGTTTGATAGATACTCCGTTCCCTTTACTCCCAGTGGAGCTGGAAGCTATCCTGGACTGTGGGAAGAGACTGAGATTTGTTTTGTTTAAAATTCATTCGTTGGATGAGGGTATCATTGTCTAGGCCAGCACTTATTGCCCATCCCTAAGAGTCAACCACATGGCTGTGGGTCTGGAGTCACATGTAGGCCAGGCCAGGTAAGGATGGTTGATTTCTTTCCCCAAAGAACCTTAGTAAACCAGATGGGTTTTTCCGACAATCGATAATGGATTCATGGTCATCATTAGACTCTTAATTCCAGATTTTTATTGAATTCAAATCCTACCATCTGCCGTGACGGTATTTGAACCCTGGTCCCCAGAGCATTACCTAGGTCTCTGATTTAATTGTCTGGCGATTATATCACTAGGCCATTGCCTCCCCAAAATTTATGCTAAAATGGGGCATGAATTGCTGAAAATGCAGGGGCATGGCAATGAGGAAATAGCTGAAGAATCTAAAGCATGGCTCCACCATCTCTGAGTAAGGGGCTGGCCATTCAAGACTGTGATGAGGAGAAGTGTCTTCACTCAAGTAGTTCGGAATGTTTGGGAATTCTCTACCACAGAAAGCAGTGAATGATCAGTCACCGAGTATAATCAACACAGAGGCTGGCAGATCCTATGGGCGCGAAGGGAATTAAATGGCACAGGAATTTTGCAGGAAGGTGGAGAGGAAGTAGAAAAAAATCAGCCAGGGTCCTGTTGAATGACAGGGCTCATTGCTTAGCTTCCTGTGAGCAGACCACTCACTCTGTCAAAAATATGGGCCTTTACGTGTGCTTAATGTTGACTTTGACTCCCTCCATCCCCCACACAGCCCACTCCCCTCCCCAACTCCCTTCCCCTTCCCAATTAACAGCTCAGTGGTTAGCTTTGCTGCCTCATGGCACTAAGACCCAGGTTTGATTCCAGCCTTGGGCAATTGTGTGCGTGTATGTGCAGGCGTGTGTGTGTGCATGTATGTGCATGCGTGTGTGTGTGTGCATGTATAGAGTTTGCACATTCTGCGTGGGTTTCCTCCGGGTGCTCCGGTTTCCTCCCACAGTCCAAAGATGTGCAGGTTAGGTGGTAAAAGGCTGGGATGCTCTTTGGAGGGTCAGTGCAGACTCGATGGGACGAATAGCCTCTTTCTGCATCATAAAACTCAGAACCATGAGAAACATGACAAAAATAGCCAATTACAAAAAAAACAAGACCTACAAGGAATACTGACCCAGAACGATTGATGTACTCCAGTTTTTTGCAATGATTCGGTGACAGAGGTGACCGGGGCAGAACGGGTTGAGGAAATGGTGATGAAAAGCTTTTTCTGAGGTGATTAAATGGTTCGACTCGAAAATAGTGTATGTCATGTACAGAAGGAGCAAATCGATGGACTGAGTGGTCTCTCTGGGTTCTATCTTCTCTTGTGTTAACGTGGACACGTTCATCCCTGAATAGAGAGGTCTATGAAATGGTCACATGATTTGACTAGCTGCGAGAGAGATGCTCATTTCCTGCCTCTGGGGCCTACCTGCAGTGCATGGTTGGCAAAGCCTTTCCCCAGTTGTCGACACACGACCATAGCCTCGGTCAGTCTCCAATGCTCGCCGCACACTGTGCCCCACTTCATCGTACCGTTGACCTCTGTCAGGATCTCCACACGGCCTTCAAAGGGGTTACGACCACCATTCAAACGGATCTATGTTTAGAATAGGAAGAACAATTAACTCTTCAAAGTATTCAACTCTTCGACGTAACTAGCTCTTCAAACTATTACCAAATCTTTCCACATCCCTCCCTATCTCTGCAACCTCTACATATTGCAATCAGTTCAGAGAAGATTCACTCAGTTAATCCCTGGAGTGAGTGGATGGCCTTATGAGGAAAGGCTAGACAGGCTAGGCCTGTATCCTCTGGAGTTTAGAAGAGTCAGAGGTGACTTAACTGAAACGTATAAAATCCTGAGGGGATTTGACCCCCCGGGTGGACGCTGAAAGGATGTTTCCTATTGTGAGTGCATCAAGAACTAGTGGTCATAGTTTAAAAATAAAGGGTCAGCCATTTAAGACAGAGATGAGGAAACATTTTTTTCTCTCAGAAGGTGTTTGGAATGCCCTTTCTCCGAATCTTTAAGGATTTTAAGACAGATGTTGATTATCGAGGGAATGAAAGGTTATCAGGGTTTCGCAGGAATGTAGTGTTGAGGTTCAAATCAGATCAGCCATGACCTTATTGAATGGCATACTCTTGTTCTTTCTTGTATGTTCTACGACCCTCCGAGATCACTGTGTTCCTCAAATGCTGGCCTCCCCAATTTACAACACATCCTGACTGCAGCCATCCTTTCCATTGTCCCAGATTCTGGAATTCCTTCCCCTTACTACATCTCTCTGCTTCCTTCCGATCGTCACTAAAACCTCCTCTTAGGGTCACCTGCCGTAATGTCTCCCAATGTTAACACTCCTGCAGAACACTTTAGGATTTTTTGTTACTCTGCTAACTGCGCAAAATGAATGTTGAGTAACGCTGTGGCCAAAGGCAATAGTTTTACTATGGATTTCTGATGAAGGGTCTAGGCCCGAAACGTCAGCCTTTCTGCTCCTATGATGCTGCTTGGCCTGCTGTGTTCATCCAGCCCTGCACCTTGTTGTCTCATTTTTCTATGGATGAACCTCTTGATTCCCTCCTACAATTCTCTTCCCAGGCCCGGATCACAATTAAAAGATTTAGAATCCCTACAGTGTGGAAACAGGCCCTTCGGCCCAACAAGTCCACACCAAACCTCAGTGCATCCCACCCAGACCCATCCCCCTATAACCCACCTAAGCTACACATCCCTGAACACTATGGGCAATCCACCTAACCTGCACATTTTCGGACTGTGGGAGGAAACCAGAGCACCCTGAGGGAACCCACGCAGACACGGGGAGAATGTGCAAACTCCACACAGACAGACATCCGAGGCTAGAATCGACCCTGGATCCCTGGTGCTGTGAGGCAGCAGTGCTAACCACTGTGCCACCACTCAGACAGGAGAAAGGACTATGGTTTAGCATCTCAACCAGCAGACTGCAGTACACACAGGCCAAAAGAGACATTTACAGTGGAAAAGATTTAACATGAACTCAAAGAATCTCGAGTGATGAATTGATTTTCTGAAGTGCAATGACTGGGCAGTTATTTGGCCAGGAGAGAGCATCGAAAATAGGAACTGGAGTAGGCCATTCAGCCCCTTCAGCCTGCCCCACCATTCAATATGATCGTGGCTCATCATCCAATTCAGTCCCCTGTTTCTGCTTTCCCCCATACCCTTTGATTCCTGAGCCCTTCTTGAAAACATTCTATCTTTTAACCGCAACTGCTTTCTGCGGCACAGAATTCCACAGGCTCACCACTGTCTGGGTGAAGAAATTTCTCCTCATCTCTGTCCTAAATGGTCTGCCCTGTTATCCTTAGGCAGTGACCCCTGGTTCTGAACCTCCCCGGTCACTGGGAACACCCTTCCTGCATTGACCCTGACATGCGCTTCCTCAGAAAGCGAGGAGATAAGCATTCTCCCTATTTTGTGTGTGTGGCATGTCACTGTAAGGACTGACTCTGATAGAAAAGTAACTAAGAGTGTTTATGAGTCTGTGTGCGACATTTATTTGCAAAAACATATAAACCAAAGCTGTGGAATTCCTGCACAGTTTGCCTGTGAGAGGAACAGTCCACTGCTACCCACTTTACTGAGTGAAGATACCATTCCAAAACTTTGTACAAATAATGAAGCACTTTTCAAGACGAGTTTCATGTATAGAGCACAGCAGCTGATGTGTGTGCAGTGACCTCCTACAAATTAAAATCTGATAATGAGCAGTTTCGGTAATTTAAGTAGAGGGACAGATATCTGCCAGGAGAGGAGTCGCCTGTTCTGCCAAACAGTGAGCTGGAAACTTTTACAGCTCGCTCAGACGGGAGAAACAACTATGGTTTAGCATCTCAACCAGCAGACTGCAGTACACACAGGCCAATAATCACTCAATACTGCTGTGTCAACAAAACTTCAGCTCTGCCAATTCAACAGTGCGGCGCTCCCTCAGCACTGACCCTCCGACAGTGCGGCGCTCCCTCAGCAATGACCCTCCGACAGTGCGGCGCTCCCTCAGTACTGACCCTCCGACAGTGCGGTGCTCCCTCAGCGCTGACCCTCCGACAGTGCGGCGCTCCCTCAGCGCTGACCCTCCGACAGTGCGGCACTCCCTCAGCGCTGACCCTCCGACAGTGCGGCGCTCCCTCAGCACGGACCCTCCGACA